GTTTGCTAGATAATACCAGGGTTTTTTTGTTGTTGTTGTTTGTTTTTTGAGAGTCTCACTCTGTTGCCCATGCTGGCATGCACTGGTGAGATCTTGACTCACTGCAATCTCCGACTACCAGGTTCAAGTGATTCTACTGCCTCTGCCTCCCGAGTAGCTGGGATTACAGGATTACAGGCATGCACCACCACACCCAGCTAATTTTTGTATTTTCAGTAGAGATGGGATTTTGCCATGTTGGCCAGGCTGGTCTCGAACTCCTGGCCTCAGGTGATCTGCCTGCCTTGGCCTCCCAAACTGCTGGAATAATGGGCATAAGCCACCACAATCAGCCCTAGAAAATAAAATTTTAAAACAAAACAAAAAAAGCAACTACATCTCACTTGCTAGGTATCTACTATCACATGCTTAAGAACCACAAATATTTAAAAAGTCACAGGACTTGAAATCCAATGGCTAAAGCAAAACCAAAATATTATGCAAATTTAAAATCCAGAAATGCAACAAGTCAAAATATTAAGGAAAAAAATTTCAATTTAGGATTCCATATCCAGTAAAATTATCTTTCAAAATGGAAACTTTATCAGGCACACAAAAAACAGACCTACGTTATTAAAAAAGCTCAAAGTTATTCCTCCAGTCAGAGGAACATGATACTGTATGGAAAGTTAGATCTATAAAAACGAAAGGCATTTGAAAAGGTAAACATTTGAGTAAATATGACTCTTCTCATTTTAAATTTTATGTCTGTATTTAACACATATATACCATGCAAGTACAGACATAAAACAATGACAACAGGCTGGGCACACTGGCTCATGCCTGTAATCCCAGCACTTTGGGAGGCCAAGGTGGGTGGATCACTTGAAGTCAGGAGTTGGAGACCAGCCTGGACAACAGGATGAAATCCCTGTGTCTCTATGAAAATATAAAAATTAGCCAGGTATGGTGGCACATGCCTGTAATCCCAGCTACTGGGGAGGCTGAGGCAGAATAATAGCTTGAACCCAGGAAGCAGAGGTTGCAGTAAGCCAAGATCGTGCCACTGCACTCTAGCCTGGGTGAAGAAGCAAGACTCCGTCTCAAAAAAAAAAATAAAAATAAAGGAAGTATGCTATCATAATGTTAACATAATACATAAAAGTAGACTGATAAACATGAACATTATAAACCTAAGGAGAAAAATCTCTGTTACTGTGGCTGAGGCAAAAAAAAAAAAAATTTTTTTTTGAGACAGAATTTCACTCCTGTTGCCCAGGCTGGAGTACAATGGCCCCATCTCGGCTCACCACAACCTTCACCTCCCAGTTTCAAGCAATTCTCCTGCCTCAGTCTCCCAAGTAGCTGGATTACAGGCACGTGCCACCACACCCAGCTAATTTTGTATTTTTAGTAGAACGGAGTTTCAACCATGTTGGTCAGGCTGGTCTCGAACTCCTAACCTCAGGTGATCCGCCTGCCTCGGTCTCCCAAAGTGCTGGCATGAGCCAACGCACCCAGCCAGGCAAAAATTTTTTTGGACATAAAAATCATAAATCTAGCTGGACACAGTGAGTGGCTCACGCCTGTAATCCCAGCACTGTGGGAGGCAGAAGCAGACAGATCACTTGAGGTCAGGAGTTCCAGACCAGCCTAGCCAACATAGTGAAACCCCATCTCTACTAAAAATACAAAATTTAGCCTGCAATGGTGACACACGCCTATAATCCCAGCTACTCAGGAGGATGAGGCACAACAATCACTTAAGCCTGGGAAGCAGAGGTGGCAGAGATCTGAGAACATGCCTGCGTGACAGAGCAAGACACACTATCTCAAAAAACAAAAAAAAAAAAAAAAAAAAAAAAAAAAAAAAAAAGCATAAATCATAAAAGAAAAATGCTAAACTGGTTTTTATCCAAATTTAAAACTTTTGTTCTTGGAAGAAAAGTTCTTGGAAATTACTGTTAAGGAAGTGAGCCACAGACTGAGGAAAAAACATTTGCAAAATAGGCAGATAGCATATATACAGAATTCTTACAACTCAGTAAGACAAACAATCTAATTCATAAAGAATAAACAAAACATTTTGAGACACTTAGCAAAAGATATGTAGGGCAAATAAACATATGGAAGTATATTCAACATCATTTATCATTAGGGAATTGCAAATAAAACCACAATGAGATACCAATACACATCCACCAGAATGGCTGAAAGCAAAGACTGACCAAAAAAAAAAAAAAAAAAATGAAGTCTTATTGAGGAGGCAAGGCATCTGGAATGCCTATATTTTACTGACTGGAATGCAAATAGCAAACACATTTTGAAAAAACCATGGGATTGTAGGAAGTCAAGCATTTGCTTACCATACAACAAATCAACAAACCCCCTCCTAACTTACTCAAGAGAAACAAAAACAAAAGACCCGTACTCAAATGTTCAGTAGTTTTGCTCTTAACAGCCAAATATAGGAACTCAATAGAAAGAAAACAAGTGACCCAATTTCAAAAATGGGCAAAGGACCTAAACAGACTTTCCTCAAAAGAGGGGATATAGTTGGGTTTGGTGATTAGTGCTTGAATCCCAGCTACCTGGGAGGCTGAAGTAGCTGAGGTGGGAGGACTGCTTGAGCCAAGGAGTTTGAGACCAGCCTGGGCAACGCAGCAAGATCCCATCTCAATGTTTTTTTTTTGTTGTTTTGTTTTGTTTTTTTAAAAACAAAAGGGCACACGAATGGCCAACAAATATATGAAAAAATGCCCATCATCATCAACAATCACCAAGGAGGCCGGGCACAGTGGCTCAAGCCTGTAATCCCAGCACTCTGGGAGGCTGAGGCAGGTGGATCACCTGAGGTCAGGAATTCAAGACCAGCCTGACCAACATGGTGAAACCCGGTCGCTACTAAAAACACAAAAATTAGCCAGGTGTGGTGGCTCAAGCCTGTAATCCCAGCTACTAAGGAGGATGAGGCAGCGATTCTGGGAGGTGGAGATTGCAGTGAGCCAAGATTGCGCCACTGCACTCCAGCCTGGGCGACAGAGTAAGACTCTGCCTCAAAAAAAAAAATAAATAAAAATAAAAAATCACCAAGGAAATGCAAGTTAAAACCACTATGAGATATCACCTCCCACCTGCCAGAATGGCTAGCAACAGAAAAAGAAAGATAACAAGTGTTGGAAAGGGTACAGAGAAAATGGGACCCTTGTGCACTGTTGGTATGAATGTAAATTACTATAGACATCATGGAAAATAGCATGGAGGTTCCTCAAAACTCCAAAATAGGATCACCACATGATCCCACTTCTGGGTATATATCCCAAGGTATTGAAATCAGTATGCTTAGGAGATGTCTGCACTCCCATGTTCACTGCACCATTATTCACAAATAGCTCAGATATGGAAACAACCTAGGTGTCCATCACTAGATGAATGGATTTTTTTTCGTGTGGTTCAAGTATGTTTTTGGTTTTGTTTTGTTTTTGAGACAGGGTCTCACTCTGTTGCCCAGGCTGGAGGGCAGTGGCACAATCTCAGTTCACTGTAGCCTGGACCTCCCAAGGCTCATGCAATTCTCCCAGCTCTGTCTCTGTCTCACAAGTAGGTGGGACTACAGGCACGCGCCACCATGCTGGGCTAATTTTTCTGTATTTGTAGAGATGTTTCACCATGTTGCCCTGACTAGTCTCAAACTCCTGAGCCAAGCAATCTGCATGCCTGGGATTACAGATATGTACCACCACACTCAGCTCAGCTTTAAAAAAAAAAGTACTGGGATTACAGATATGTACCACCACACTCAGCTCAGCTTTAAAAAAAACAAGTAAATTATGTCATTTGTGACAGGAAGATAAAATACTGCATGATCTTAAATATATGTAGAATCCACAAAAGTCAAACTCACAGAAGCAGAGAGCAGAATGGTGGTTACCAAGGTCTAAGGGAGAAGAGTGTATGGGGAAAGGGGAGATGTTGACCAAAAGACACAAAGTTTCAGACAGAAGGAATAAATTTTAGTGATCTATTGCACAGAATGGTGACTACAATAATGCACTGCATATTCTGATACTGACAAAAGAGTGGTTTTTTTATTTGCTTGTTTTGAGACAGAGTCTTGCTTTGTGCCCAGGCTGGAGTGAAGCAGAGTGATCTCAGCTCACTACAACCTCTACCCTCTGGGTTCAAGCTATTCTGCTGCCTCAGCCTCCCGAGTAGCTGGGGACTACAGGTGCACACCACCATGCCCAGCTATGTTTTGTATTTTTAGTAGAGACAGGGTTTCACCATGTTGGCCAGGCTGGTCTTGAACTCCTGACCTCAAGTAACCCACCCACCTTGGCCTCCCCAAGTGCTGGGATTATAGGCGTGAGCCACTGCGCCTGGCCAAAGAGTAGATTTATAATGTTTTCTTCAATGGCTGTTTGGAGCTGTGTCTTAAAAAAATTATTTTAAAAATGTTTTCACTACCAAAATAAGTACATGATGTGACGGATTTCTTAATTATCTTGACTGCAGCCCTCCACAATGTCAACACCAAAACATCACACACATAAACAATTATTTGTCAATAAAAAATAAATTGGCCAGGCACAGTGGCTCACGCCTGTAATCCCAGCACTTCGGGAGGCTGACGCAGGCAGATCATTTGAGGTCAGGAGTTCAAGACCAGCCTAGCCAACACGGCAAAACCCTGTCTCTATTAAAAATACAAAACAACGGCCAGGAGCAGTGGCTCACACCTGTAATCCCAGCACTTTGGGAGGCCAAGGCAGGTGGATCATGAGGTCAAGAAATCGAGACCATCCTGGTCAACATGGTGGAACCCTGTCTGTACTGAAAATACATAAAATTAGCTGGGCGTGGTGGTGGGCGCCTGTAGTCCCAGCTACTCAGGAGGCTGAGGCAGGAGAACCACTTGAACTCAGGAGGTGGAGGTTGCAGTGAGCCGAGACAGTGCCACTGCACTCCAACCTGGCAATAGAGCAAGACTCCGTCTCAAAAACAAAACAAAAAAACCAATAATGGAATATGTGACAACTCCAAGTGTTGGTGAGACTGAAAAATGGGTACTCCCACACTGTTGGGAAATGTAAATTTGTAAAACCCTTCTGAAAGGCATTTTGACAATATATCAATGTTACAAATGTATATACCACCTTTGCCTCAACAATTTTACCCCTGAGAAATTTAATCTAAAGAAAATAATGGAACAAATATACAAAAAATGTATTTGCTTTAGATACATGCACATAGCAAAAATTTAAAAACAAAAAAAACCTAAGAATTTATCAAAGTAGATTTGGCCAAACAATTTATGCTATATCCATACAACAGAGTACTAGGAGCTACTAATAAAAATGATATACTCTACTATGGAGTACAGGGTACAAGACAGCATTGTTATATGTTCCCACTTACATAAAAATCATACATCCCTGTGCATATATGCATAAATAAGTCTAGAAGAATGTTTATCAAAATGTCATGAGTGATCATCTCATCAGGTAGCTGGACCTAAGAGGCCTTTTAATCTCTTACACTTTTCTGTACTAACTAAAAATTTCTACCATGAGCTTCTATTATGTTTGCAAACAGGTGAAAAATAATACAGAGCAGTATCAGTAAAAAATGACTCTAAGAAAGATGAAATAATTTAATGTTAGATAAACTGAATTTGGAATGCCAATAAAATATACCAGTGAAAGTGACCCTATGCAACTGAAAATGCAAACAGAAAAGTGGGGAGGCACGTAGATCATTTACCACTTTCAGTTCCTCTCACTATCCCTCTCATTTCATTTTATTTACATTCCAGTTTTACCTACATTTATCCTGTAATGTACATCAATTTCATTTTCCAAATACATAAAGAACACTAGGTTCTTCCATAATTTAAATGCGCAGAAATTCAAGGTCACTGCAAACAAGTAATGCTTCTGATTCTAGCTTGGTACTTTTGCTTCCAACACCCACTTCAAAGCTTACCAATTTATATGAAACAAAGCCAACCAAAACCGAAATAACAACAACAAAATGATATTCACAAAAAAAGTACAAAATAAAGGAAAAATTAAAATTTGGGGGGAAATAAAAATTTGACATAATGTCTGCTCAGAAAATTTTTGCTTTAAAGATTAATTCAAACTCACCAAGAATTTATCTTGGTCAGCACAAAAAAGGGCAAATATAAACACTAGGTCTGAATTAATTCCATTCACACTAAAGTGACTCCCAACATCCTCTATTCAATCTAATAAAGTAGAAGCTAGAAGAAGGTTCTTAAATTCCCTCCTTATAATTCAAAACAATTTCTTGTCCCATCCTAGAGTATGAGAGTATATATGAACCAAAATAGCAAGCAAGTTTAGATATATAATTGGCATCTGTGCAGACTTGTATGCACTAATCTGTAGATAAAAATGTATTTAAATTAAACCACCAATAAATAGGCTCTGGAATTTGTCCTCTAGGAGCTTACAATTTAGTAGGGAAAACACAAAAGTAGCCAGCCAACTAAGCTGATATTAAACAGAATTTTTAAAAGCTCTATAACAAAGATAAAGTGCTGTGGGATACAGGGGAAAAAAATTAACTTGCATCTAGATGAATTCAAGATAGTGGGATTTAAGGCTGGACACAGTGGCTCACACCTGTAATCCCATCACTTTGGGAGGTGAGTGCAGGAGGACTGTTTAAACCCAGAAGCTCAAGACCAGCCTAAAGTCTGGGCAACATAGTAAGACACCATCTTTACCAAAAAACAAGCAAACAAATAAACAACCCACAAAAGATAGTGGGAATTTTCAGCTGAGTTTTAAATGCAAAGCTTGAGATGAAGAGCAAAAGAGAGTTTGGAGTCTCTTATCATTTAAGCTAAGAGAATAGCAATTATAAAAATAGAAATAAAAATGTGTCTGAAAATAGAATTCTGATACAATGGAGCCAGATCATAAAAGGCATTAACTGACAATACATAGGAAGTTTAGGCTTGGCCACACACAGCTGCTCATGCCTGTAATCCCAACACTTTGGGAGGCCCAGGTGGAAAGATCGTCTGAGGCCAGGAGTTCAACACAAATCACAGCAACATGGTGAAACCCACCTCTACAAAAAATACAAAAATTCGCCAGGCATGGTGGTATGCACCTGCAATCCCAACTACTTAGGTAGGCTGAAGCAGGAGAATGCTCTGGGCCCAGGAGTTCGAGGGTGCTGTGAGCCATGATCACATCACCGCACTCCAGGCTGGGCAACTGAGCAAGACACTATCCCTTTAAAAAAAAAAAAAAAAAAGTTTAGATTTATGCTAATAATAATAATAATTCTAATATAATGGGAGTGACATGAGCCAAACAAAGATTTTAAGAAAACTCTCTTGATAAAGAACGATCTGGGAAGAAAAGAATGGATAAAATGAGAAGAATGGTAACGGTAACAGGAAGTCTAACTGATTAACCTTAAAGGGTGACAGAAATGGAAAAGAGGAAATAAATATTTGCGTTAGTGGAAAAGAAATGTGACAAGGACTCAAGGACTGAGTAGATGTAAATGTCAGGTAAAGTTCGGTCAGAGAAAGAGGAAAACACAAAGCCATCACTCTGAGAATGAAAATAATGATCGCAGCTTTGGAGATTTAAGACAGTCAATCTATACTTCCATTCCCTTCTGAGAGTTTCTACATTTGTTGTAGTATCCTATTTTTGAAACTGCTTAAAGCATTTTAAGAATTCCTTTCACCTAGGGATATTCATGACTGATTCCTATTAAACATATATTAAATCAGTGGCATATTTTATAAGTAGCTGTTTTTTTTCATTCTGAAATATCTCCATTTTATATACTTTTGAACAATAGTTATCAGGAAAAAACATTAAATAATCCGTAACAGAAGTACCACATATAAGTGAATACCAGTAATTTTTCTTATTTATATCTAGAGTTCACCCATCTTTTTCAGATTCTTAAGTTCTTGTTATTATTCCATAATGAAGGCTTCTGTGTTTCTTGGTGGAATGGAACTTCCACAGGTTTAGAGAAAGAGCAAAACATACATAATAATTTCTTGTACCGATTTTAACTAATCTGACATCAGTAACTTCAGATCAAAATAACTCTGGAAAACCACCATCAATAAGTAAAAGTAATTAATGCCTTCAAGAAATGTTTTTAGCCAATCTTTGTAGAGACAAAGTAGAAAATACATCCACAAGATGTAAACCTAATTGTTCATAAAAACTACGAATTAATAAACACAAATAAGCTGAAAGAATCTTTAGAAGACTAGTCTTTTAAAACCTTCAAAATGCTGAATAAATGGCCAAGAAACAGAAATGAACACATATATATCCAAACAGTAGCTGATTTTCACCAAAAGAGGTCATTGTGTGAGGTTGCCATCTCCCCTTAATGCAAATCTAAGTTCAATATAGCATATGCTTTAAGTGGTAAGTGGCCCATGTTCTTTAATGAATAGACTGCTGTTAGAATTCTTCATATTGTAACCAAAATCCATGCTCTTTAATATTAAGAGAATGTACTTTCAAATCAGCGTAGGGTTTGAATCTAAGCTGATCTTGGAGCAAATCACTTAACTTTTTAGAGCTCCCATTTCCCAATCCATCAATGAGAATGTTTCCAACTATCACGTGGATTTCAGTGGTCAACTTACGTTAAATATTTATCATTGCCTGGCACACAGCAAAACACTACAAATAGTACCCTCCCCTCTTTTCAATACACCCTCACATTTATTATAGGGCCAATCAGCAAGACTATGTGACCTTCCACACCCCAACAGTCAACTAGCAAAAAAAATACGGCAAACAGGTTATACGGGGAAGTGGGGAGGCCAGGTAAAGTTAAGAAGGAATTGATGAAAAGAAATGCATGAGCTGAGGACTGAAGATTCAAATGAAGACAAAGAATAAGTTGTGAGGTAGAAATCACTAAAATGGAAAGGATTTATTCTAGGATCTGACATCAAAAAAACTTCAGGCTGGGTGCAGTGACTCAACACCTCTAATCCCAGGACTCTGGGAGGCTGAGGTAGGTAGATCACTTGAGCCCAGGAGTTCGAGACCAGCCTGAGTAACATGATGAAACCCTATCGCTATTTTCAGCTTATTTATTTAAAAAAAAAATTCTTTTTAATCTTCATACCATGATTTCCCATACTATTTTGAATGTATATGTATTTCCTTAAAAATATCTACATTGACAACTCATTAATATGTAAGTTCTGAGTAGGTTGGGAAAAGATTACACTGTTTCTTACAGCATTACACATGGTCTATACTAAATATTTAAACAAAGTTTGTAATACAGTCCCACATTAATATTTTGCATGTTCAGTAAACTCCATCATCCCTTCATATACCTATTCAACATTTATTAAGAGTGTACTTGTGCCGGATACAATGCTGAGCACTAGAAATACAATGGTGGACAAGACAGGCCAGTGCCTTCATGAAACTCACAGCCAGTCTGTTCATTAAAGAACATGAGCCACTTACCACAAGTAATAAATTCTGAAAATAAACAACACTTTTTGCATTAATCTGTACAAGTGAGTTCAATCATCTGTTCCTAAAAAGTAATAATACATTTACTATATTTTAAAATCTTAAGATTTTTCAATCAACTATTTTGCTATTAATTCTGGGACCCACGTTTTAAGCTGGACATTTGACAAACTAGTTACAATGTGAAAAATCTGAAAACCATGTGAGTTTTCTAGCCTAAAAGACTCAGAAAACAAGACAATTGTCTTTACATTTAAAGGTTTAGCATACACGCGTGCTCTGTACCATTCCAAGAGCTAAACTTGGAGCAATGGGTGAAAGTGGCACGAAGGTGTATTTTGGTTACAATATGAAGAATTCCAACAATTTGAGATAATGAATAATTCAACCACCTTATATTAAATATTTCTGTAAGACTGCAAGCTTTAAAAAGATAAATTTTCACTTAATCCTTGAAATAATCCCAAAAAACAAGTGTTTCCCTGTTATAGTTTAGGAAACTGAGTCTCCAAGGATCTTGCTAAAGTCCCAAATCTAGTGGACAGGTTGCTCAAAGTAATGTGCTTCCCACCTCCAGATGTATTTCAGGCACATACCAAATGGCCATCTGTCAGGAATGTTAGCCAAGATACCCTATAATTCTTCGAAATTCAATCCTATAGAAATACCGGTGGTCAATATAAACACTACGAAAAGATTCTGTGTTGAATGGTCCTCCAGAATGCAAGTTCCATGAGGGCAGTAACTAATTCTTCCCTGCTATATCTCAATACCTAAAACAGTATATGGCATACAATACAAAAACACTAAATGTGAATAGTCCTAATCACACATACCAAAATTATACAAAATATATACTACTATTATACAATAAAGGACCTCGCTAAAGTATCCAGCAACTAAAAAGCCTGATGAATAAAAAGTCCATTCTTAAAATTGCATCGAACACTTTAAATTACTAAAGTCCTGAAAATTAAACCAACCAGTTTGCAAAACAAGTTCAACTGCAAAAATCGCAAACCTTTTGGCAAACCAAGTATTATAGTTAAAACTAAAATACAATGTCTTACAAGATATAATGGCTAATTTTGATGAATGAGTTTTTCAATTCTTCACTAAGGCATCAACTACCATTTTAAGTGTGCTTCAACCCTCTTAAGAGTGAAACAATTTATACAACTCTTTTGGCTTTAAAGACACACGCTCAGATCTCTGCAAACATCACACCTTTACATTTACTAGGCTGATATTTCAAAGAGGTCTGCTAATTTTGCAGATGCATATTTGTATTGTGTTAAGATTCCACATAACCCATACTTAGAGGTACTGTGCATCCACTTGCCATTACTGAAAGCCAATAAGAAAAAGCGATCCAAATGTCATTTTGCAACAGAAATCATAAGGCCTGGAATGTGCAAACATCTCAAGGAATATAAGAACCCATAAAATACACGAAAGTTGTTTTTAGTGAACTCTGCTTAGTTGATAAGCATATTTTAAGGCACATTTTTTAAAAAGAATATTATATAACAAAAGAGGCAAGAAAGCTACATAGAACTTTTACTCCAATTTCACTAAATTAAATTAAACCTTTTAAAGATTTCTGGACAAAGATTCTGATATTTAAAAGTCTGGTTATCTTGTGTTTTTATCCTTCGGGCATATCTAAACAAACAAAAAAGTCCACTTAACTTTAAATAAAGCAGTTACAGACTTATAATAGCATAAGAATGTACTGTCATTCCCTTGGTTACACTAGGTTACATCACCCAGATTTATAATGTTATTAGCAACTGGGTGTCATCACAAACCAAGAAACCAAAATCTTGTCATTTTTTTCTACTTTCTGTAATTATGACTTCAGAAGATCAGGTAAAACAATCCCCCACAACAATTTCACTAAATAGATAGCTTCCTTATCTTCAGTATTCAGAACTATCAACTTCCACAAAAGCTTTTTTCACATGCTAAAAGAATAAACTTTACAGAAAGGCTGCTTCTCTCATCACTGTAATAATCATAAGAAACATCTGCAATCTACATCTAACTGTGACATCAGCACCTGATTCTTACTCCCTGTACAGTATCAGACCCTAAGCTGCAGTCCATTCCTAAATCCTCAACAATGAAACCTCCTCACAGAACTTTCAAAATTGAGACGATTTAAACCACTTCTAAGTTTACCCAAACTAATTGTGCCAGAAAAACAAAGAACAATTGGGAGAAACCCGTTAACACATTAATGCAACACGTCTGAAACTTTAAATTCTTCCTCAAAAATCTTCCCTGCCACAGCTTGGGGAAAAGTTCCACTCGCCCAGTTGCTTTGTCCCTTCTACCCCCTAAAAGTGTCACAGGCGCGCGAAAACGCCTCTCCTTCCTGGGAGGCTCAGGCGATGTTGTCTTGTTTCGGCAGTGGACCTGCGTGGTTTTGAGAACCCAGGCACCACTTTCCCTACTGCTGGGGATCAGCGCAGCCAAAGCACACACGGGCAGAACGGCGAGACTCACCTGAGCACAGGGCTGTAGGGGCTGCGAGAGCGGCGCCAGCTGCTGCTGCTGTAGGGACTGGGGGACACGTCGCCGCCCCGCTCATAGGAGCTGTGGCGGCTGTAGCTGGGGGAGCGGCGGCGGCTGTAGGGGCTCGGGGAGCGCGGCAGCCGCCGGGAATAAGGGCTGCTGCCACCTCCTGCTGGGCTGGGGGACTTGCGGCTCCTCAGGCTCTGAGAGGCCCTGTGGGACACCGGGCTGTCGTCCCGGCCTCCCAGCGGGCTCAGAGACCGCCGCCGCCTGTAGGCCTTGGGCTCGGTCTTGTCCTCCCGGTAGGCCTTGGGCGGCTCCTTGTAGGCCGAAGGCGGCTCCTTGGACGACTTAGTCCGGCTGCGGTGGACCTTCGAGTCCCGGTCCTTGCGGCTGCTACTGCTGCTGGACGTGGCCGAGGCGCTTTTCCGGCGGCCACCGCTGCTGCTGCTGCTGCCGCTCTTGGCGGCCTCGGCCCGTTCCTCGCCGCTGTGGCTGTGGCGGCTGCGGGACTTAGAGGCCTCGCTGCCGCCGCGCTGCCCATCCCGCCGCCGGTGCTCGCGGTGGCGCTCCTTGCTTCGACCGCTGCTGCTGCGGCGGTCCCGGCGGGGCCTGCGCTCTGACCCCTCCCCGCGCCTCTGGGTGCCAGAGGAGGAGGCCGGACTCCCGCCGCTGCCCCCCGTTCCCCCGGCAGCCGTCGCCGCCGTTGCCGCGCTGGCCCCCCCCAGCAGCAGCCCCTGCTCGGACTGGGAGCTCACATCCTCGTATTCCACCAGCGGGGTCACACCCCCGCCGCTACTAGCACCGCCACCGCCGTCCTGCTGCGGCTGGGGCAGCGAGAAGACCCGACGCTTCTCCGCCTCCTGCCCGGCGCGGGGCCCGCGGCGCCGCTTCTGCCGCCCTCCTGCGCGCCTCTTGCCTCTCGCCAGCCGCTTGACCTCCAGAGGGGGGCCCGGGCTGAAGCAAGAGGAGGAGGCCGCGGCGGCGGCGGCTGCGGCGGCGGCCGTGCCGGGAGCAGCCAGGAAGAGCAGAGGCGGCGGGGGCGGCGGCGGTTGCAGGAGCTGCGGCTGCAGGAGCGGCAACAGCAGTGGCGGCTGCTGAGGGGACAGGAATCGCCTCCGCTTGCGGCGTTCCTCCAACTTCTTCTCCGCCCAGCTCAGACCCCCGCCTCCCCCCAGCGCCGTGTCCGAGCTGCTCGGCATCGCCTAGAGCCCGCCGCAGAGCGCGGCGCGGGTGCGGCCTCCTCCCGGGTCAGACCCTGGCCATCTCCCCCGCCGGAAACGGGAGCGGCGGCGGAGGGACACCGAGCACCAGGGCCGGCCGGGAGACGCGCCACGATAATCCGGGTCGGGACTCGAGTCCCTGGATTCCAGGTCACAGTGGGGTACGCAGCGGCCTCCGGGCCTCAGGGAAGCAGGAATCCAGGCGGCGGAGCTCCCGATCGCGCTCGTCGTCCTATTCGCGGCAACGAAAACACCAGATGCGCCGGGCGCTGACCTGCTGGGCAGTCCCGAGTCCTCCAAGTGCCCCCGGGGGTGGGGGAGCGGCCTCGGCCGCGCTCTCGGCTCGGGCAGCGCAACGCGGAAGTACCACCTTCGTCTCCGCTTCACTCCATCGCGCCCTGACGTTGGGTGCGAGTTCAGGGGAGGGGAGTGGGCGAGACAACAGCACGCCTCCACCGCCTCCTCCTCGGCGTCGACGTCGTCCTCCTGTGGTGGCGGCGACACACCGCAGACGCCTCGCAAGTGGCCTGGGCCTGACAACAACTCCCAGCCTAGGACCTCGCGCACTCTGCGGCCCGCGGGGCTGGGCGGCGGGGCGGGGCGAGGCGGGGGCGACCCGGCTGCGGCTCACGGTTGGGGCAGCGAGTGTGCGGGGCTGGGCGGGGGGCTATTTCCGGGGAGATGGGGGCGGGGGCGTTTCTGAGTCTGTGGCGGTGGGTACGGGCCCTGACTTTCTTCTTCCTTCTCCCCCGCCGTCGCGAGCAGAGGTGGCGGAGCTACCCCTTTCCTCCGTTCCCCCCCTCCACGAGGAGGCTCTTGGCGTGCGCGGCCGGCCCCTCCTCGCTCCTCCCCTTCCCTCTTCGCTCCTCGTCAGTAGGAGGGAGAGCAATGGGACTAGCTGGTTGGGCCCTAACCTCCACAACCCCTCCTTCTCGCCTAGCTGGTTCGGCTTTTCGCTTCAGCCCCGACGCACGACCGGGAGCGCGCACGCACGTCACGCTCAGCGAAAGCCCAAGATGAGTGGTGGCGAGGCAAGAGAGGCGGGAACAAAGTTGCCGCGCAGTGGCGTGCTCGCTCCCGCCAGGGACCGGCCGGCCGCACCGGAAGTGGCATGTTGTAGCAGCCGCTCGACTTCCGGCGAGGGTGGGACTCGGTATGAAGAAGGGTTAAAGAAAGGAGAGGTTTCGTGCACCGCCCACTGCTGTTGCTTGAGACTCTCCCCGTGGCGGCGCGCGAGTCGTGCCTGTTGCTTGCGTCCAGCGCGCAGTGCCGTTCTGGCTCTCTGCAGACGCCGCACTGCCTGCCTGTTAAGCGAAAGGTCACAGTGAGAGCAAGTATATCTGGAGACTGTGAGGGAAATAATGCTGTTGGTGGCCTTCTGGGCTGGGCAGTCACCCCGTCGTCTACCTTCAGTCAAGCCCGGGGAGTGGAACGGCTGCGAAAAAAGAGAAGACACCCCGCAAAACAGGGCGGAGATGGCGTTGATTTAACTTGTCTCACGTACACCAAAGTTCGAGGCCCCATCTTTTTTTTTTTTTTTTTTGAGACGGAGTTTCGCTCTTGTTAGCCAGGCTGGAGTGCAATCTCGGCTCACCGCAACCTCCGCGAGGCCCCATCTCATCCTAAAAAACACACTTGAGAATCATAGCTCAAGCCTCGGTAACACTGTTTACTTTAAAATAAAAAATTTTTAGGCCTTAAATCAATAGAGGGAATAAGTGGAATGTTAAAAGAACTCCTGAAAATTCCATAATTTATCAGGGGCCTTGAAAACAAAACATCTTGTTCGAATGATGAGACTGCCCTCTTAGTACTTCACCCACTGTCACCTTAATATCCAAACATCTGAGGTTGCCAAACATAGCTATATGTGACCTCATGTCTCATTTCTTGCCTTAGAATTGCCCTTCAGTTACAGACTGAGCACTCAGCATAATTAGATTAAAATCTAAATGGTTTATTGGCTTGTACAATGGTTGGAAAGGCAAGCCAATCCGGCGCAGTGGCACAAGCTTGTAGTCACAGCTACTCCTGAGGCTGGGGCAGGAGGATCGCTGGAGCTCAAGAGTTCGAGGCTGCAGTGAGCTATGACGGTGCCACAGCACCCCAGCCTGGGCAGTCCGCAGGGCCCTGCCTCTAAAAAAAGAAAAAGCTAAGCCGTCTGTTCAATGACTACATGTAGTCACCCCTTTGAGAATATATTTGTTCAGATCATCAGTTGGTTTAGTTCTTAAACACTTCGTATTTATCCATCATTAATACCTTAGTGTAAATTATTTTAGTCAGCTTGACTTAGTATCACAGACTGGACTGATCTAAGATCAGACTTCACTGGCAGAATACAAAGGATGTTTGTTTGCTGAAGGATAGAGGAGAAGGCAAAGGAATAGGTAATATCTTAAAGTCAGTGCATTTCCCAGGAGGGCAGGCCTGGGTGGGTCACACCATGGGACAGGCATTAGGAAACTGAATAGAATACTTTTCTATTCAGTTTTAGGGGCAGGATGCCCAAAACAAATTTCTCGTTAGCAGTATCATTGAGTGAAGGTCCTGTAGCCAGCCTCCTAACAGACTGTTTAGCAAGTGGCTTTTTCAGAAACATGTAGGTTCAACCTATTCTGTCATCCTACATTAAATGGCCTGGAATAACAGAACAAAGAGAGCAAATAAGAGGTTTAGCTTGCAGCTCCCCACATCTACAACCAGTTCCACTTGAGAATGTTATCTTCTATCATATACTTTCAAAGAAAATTTGATTATAGTAAATGGATAATTCCCATGGGTAAGTGTATTAATGGAGTTTAAAAAAAAAAAAAAAAAAGGTAAATGGATAGTTCCCAATCCAAGATGCAAACAAAAAACATGTACTAAAATATTTTTACTGTGATTCTACCACCCACATGTTTCCTCAAAGAGTCTATCGTTGGTGGGGGAGGGTGAATGAAGCCTTTTGAACTCTGGATACCTGCCCATGTGGCTGGAAACACTAATAATTAATAGGATTCAAACTCCAAAAAATGGCAACGACCTTTGAATTAGAAGCTGTGTCTGTCTAGAAGCAAGCCTGTCTGCTTGCCTGAATATTAAAGAGATGTGAAATTGAAATTGCCATTGTGAGTTTATATTTTTTTATATTACTGCTTGTGTGTGTGTATGTTTTGTTTTTGTTTTGGGGGGTTTTTTGTTTGTTTGTTTAGATGGAGTTTCACTCGTCGCCCAGGCTGGAGTGCAGTGGCACCATCTCAGCTCACTGTAACTTCTGCCTCCTGGGTTCAAGTGATTCTCCTGCCTCAGCCTCCTGAGTAGCTGGGATTACAGGCACCTACCACCACTCCCGGCTCTTTTTTTTTTTTTTTTTTTTTGTATTTTTGGTAGAGACCAGGTTCCACCATGTTGGGCAGGCCGATCTCAAACTCCTGACCTCAAGTGATCAGCTGGCCTTGGCCTCCCAAAGTGCTAGGATTACATGCTTGTGTGTTTTGTGTGCTATTGTTTGTTGCTTCCTGTTTTGTTTTGTTTTTTAAAGAAAAGGTGCTTACGTTTTTGCTTTCTTTCTTTGACAGGTCATATTATACCACTCTTAAAGTGTGATCTTGGCTAGGCACAGTGGCTCATGCAGGAAACTGATGGCCGAGGTGGGCAAATCCTTTGAGCTCAGGAGTTCAAGACCAGCCTGGGCAACATGGAGAAACCCCATCTCTACATATATATATATAAAACAAAACAAAACATGGGTGGTGGTACACACATGTAGTTCCAACTACTTGGCAGGCTGAGGTGGGAGGGTCTCTTGAAGCTGGCAGTGAACAGCAGTTGAGGCTGCAGTGAGCTGAGATGGCACCAATGCCCTTCAGAGTGGGTGACAAAGTGAGACACTGTCTCAAAAAAAAGTGATCTGGTCCTAAGACCTTTTCAATGGCCCCGCACAGTCAAAACTATTAAACTTTTTTTTCTCTTTTTTGAGACAACATCTGGCGCTATCACCCAGGCTTGAGTGAAGGGACCTCCTAAGTAGCTGGGACTAAAGGTGCATGCCACCGTGCCTGGCTAATTTTGGATTTTTCAGTAGAGATGGGGTTTCACCATGTTGGCCAGGCTGCTCTCAAACCCCTGGCCTCAAGTGATCCGCCCTCCTTGGCCTCCCAAAGTGCTGGGATTATAAGCATGAGCCACCATACGTGGCCTGGAAAAAATATTTTTATTTTTGTTATTATTTTTTTTTTTGAGATGGAGTCTTGCTCTGTTGCCTAGTTTGCAGTGCTATGATATGATCTTGGCTCACTGTAACCTCCCCCTCCTAGGCTCAAGCAGTTCTCCTGCCTTAGTCTCCCAAGTAGCTGGGATTACAGATATGCACCATCATGCCCAGCTAATTTTTGTATTTTCAGTAGAGACAGGGTTTCACCCTGTTGGCCAGGCTGGTCTTAAATTCCTGACCTCAACTGATCCACCTGCCTCAGTCTTCCAAAGTGCTGGGATTACAAGTGTGAGCCACCGTACCCGGCCAAATATTTTTTATTCTTTAATTTTACAAGAATGTTTAGGTACTTTTAGGAGATAAATATTCAGGAATATTTGGAAGTTCAACTAGAGAACAAGAATATTTCAATTTACTAATTATATCAACAAATTTGAGAGAAACAAATATGAACAATTCATCTGTGTTTTGTTAAAATTTCTCATAAGTAGAGTCATTAACATCTTAAAATATAATGCTGATGATGATATAAGTCACAGGAAATCACTTCTACCAGGACTTTTTAACTGGCAATGTAAATCTTATTTTGTTTACAGAACATTTTTAAAAAGTATAAAAATCAGCATTTAAGAATTGATTCACCCTTACATTTATGGTCTGTTGATTTTTCAGCAAGGTGCCAAGACTATACAATGGGAAAGAATAGACTTTTCAGCAAATAATACCAGGACAACTGGATATCCACATGCAAAAGAAAGAAGCTGGACACCAACCTCATACCATATTAAAAAAAAAAAAATTCAAAATAAGCGAAAAGCACTTGTGACAAGAGGAAAAATAGATAAACTGAATTTCATCTAAATTAAAATTCAAGGCAGGTGGATTGCTTGAACCCAGGAGTTGAAGACCAAACTCAATAACGTGGCCAAACCCTATCTCTACTAAAAATACAAAATTTAGCCAGGTGTGGTGGCACATACCTGTAATCCCAGCTACGCAGGAGAATCACTTGAATCCAGGAGGTGGAGGTTGCAGTGAGCTGAGATCCCTCCATTGCACTCCATCCTGGGCGACAGAGTGAAACACTATCTAAAAAACAACAACAAAGAAAAACTGATCCTATATTTCACATTTGCTAAGAGGGTAGATCTTAAGTGTTATCAGAAAAAAAAAAAAAGTTTGGCTGGGTGCAGTGGCTCATGCCTCTAATCCCAGCACTTTGGGAGACAGAGGCGGACTATCTCCTGAGGACAGAAATTCAAGACCAGCCTGGTGAAACCCCATCTCTACTACAAATACAAAAATCAGCCAGGTGTGGTGGTGCACAACTGTAATCCCAGCTACTCAGGAGGCTGAGGCACAAGAATCACAGGAATTCAGGCAGCAGAGATTGAAGTGAGCAGAGATCACACCACTGCACCCCAGCCTGGGTGACAGAGTGAGACTCTGTCTCAAAAAAAAAAAAAGTTTAAAGGACCTAAACAGACATATTTCCAAAGAGGATATGCAAGTGACCCAAAAGCACATGAAAAGATGCTCAATGTCATTATCCACTAGAGAAATTCAAATAAAAACCACAGGAGATACCATTTCAAACACCAGAACCAGCCTGGGCAACATGATGAAACTTGGGCTTTAGGAAAATACAAAAATTAGCTGGGTTTGGTGGCACACATCTGTAGTCCCAGCTACTTGAGAGGCTGAGGTATGAGAATTGCTTAAACCTGGGAGGTGAAGGTTGCAGTGAGCTTAGATCGTGCCACTGTACTCCAGCCTGGGGGAAAGAGCGAGACCCTGTCTCAAATATAGATAAGTAAACAAAACAAAATAAAAAACACCAGATGACTATGATCAACAAGTTTTGTCGAGGATGTGGAGAAATTGGAACTTTCAAACTTTGCTGGTAGAAGTATAAAAATGGGTAGCCACTTTTTTAAAAAAAAGTAAATGTTTATCATTGCTTAATACTCAAATTTTGTTAAATATTATGAGAAGATCTTCTCTCAAAATGTCCTTTGTGCTTTTTTTGTTTTGTTTATTTATTTTGAGAAGGAATCTCGCTCTATCCCCCAGGCTGGAGTGCAGTGGGGTAATCTGGGCTCACTGTAACCCTGCCTTCCAGGTTCGAGCAATTCTCCCACCTCAACATCCTAAGTAGCTAGGGTCACAGGCGCTCCACCACACCCAGCTGATTTTTGTATTTTTGGTAGGGACGGAGTTTCAGCATGTTAGCCAGGCTGCTTTCAAACTCTTGACCTCGAGTGATCTGTCACCTCAGCCTCCCAAAGTGCTGGGATTACAGGCATGAGTCACCGCACCAGGCTGGGAGTAGCCCCTTTGGAAAACAATTTGGCAGTTCCTCTAAATGCTAAACATAGAATTACCATATGACCCAGCAATCTTACTCCTAGATATATTACCCAAAATATATGAAAACATATGTTTGCACAATATGTCATGATAGGTAAAACATGGAAACAACCCAAATGTTCATCAAATAATGAACAGATAAGCAAAATGTGGCAGATCCATACAATGGAATATTATTCAGCAATAAAAAGGAATGAATATCTAATACATGCTATAACATGGATGAACCTTGAAGACATTATGTTAAGTGAAAAAAGCCTTAGTTTCTCTCTTGTTATCATCACCTGAAGTACAAAATAGGTGACATTATTATCGTTTAACAGATAAGAAAAGTAAAGATCAAAGAGATTGAGTTGCCTATAGCCACTTAAACAATAATGTGAAAAAAATTTAACCTTGGCTGGGCGCGGTGGCTCAAGCCTGTAATCCCAGCACTTTGGGAGGCCGAGGCGGGTGGATCACGAGGTCAAGAGATCGAGACCATCCTGGTCAACATGGTGAAACCCCGTCTCTACTAAAAAAAACACCAAAAAAAAAAAAATTTAACCTCAAAACACATTCTAAACACAAATAAAACTATTTTTTTAAAGTGTCTGGTTTTGCTGTATCCCCATTTAAATCTCAACTTGAATTGTATCTCCCAGAATTCCTACATGTTGTGGGAGGGACCCAGGGGAAGATATTTGAACCATGGGGGCCATTTCTGTGCTATTGATAGTGAATAAATTGATAATGAATAAGTTTGATAGTGAATAAGTTTCACAAGATCTTGATAGTGAATAAGTCTCATAAGATCTTGATAGTGAATAAGTTTCAGAAGATCTAATGGGCTTATCAGGGGTTTCTGCTTTTGCCTCTTCCACATTTTCTCTTGTTGCCACCATGTAAGAAGTGCCTTTTGCCTCCCGCCACGATTCCCAGAACTTTGGGAGGCCAAGGTGGGCTAATTACTTGAGCTCAGGACAAGACCAGCCTGGACAACATGGTAAAACCCCCATCTTTACAAAAAATATATAAAAATTACCTGGGCATGTTGGCTTACACCTGTATTCTCAGCTACTCAGGAGGCTGAAGTGGGAGGATCACCTGAGGCCCAGGAGGCAGAGGTTGCAGTGGACTGAGATTGTGCCACTGCACACCAGCCTGGGTAACAGGGTGAGACCCTATCTCCAAAAAAAAAAAAAAAAAATTAAAATCTTAAAAATTAACTTAATCCCCCCACACTTTTTATGACATAAACTGAGATTTACACAAATCAAATTTCTTGTCCAAGATCCTTGTAAAAGAAGCCTCGTTTATTTTGCCCTCCATCCAGATCCATGATTTTGAAATTCACTCAAAGATGTTCTAAGGAATAAATAGGTTGGGAAAGTTTTAAGGAGGTGAGTTTTTAGATCCTCAACTTGTATAATTCTAAAACTGATCTAGGCGGGTCACAGTGGCTCACACCTATAATCCCAGCACTTTGAGAGGTGGAGGTGAGAGAATTGCTTGAGGCCAGGAGTTTGAGACTAGCAAGACCCTATCTCTACA